AAAGTCTCAGCTGTAGTTTAAACTTCATCCATGTTTGCTTTATATACTTGAACTCTCTGCAGACGACTACGCCAGCCTCTGCAGCTCCTTCCCTCCTCCTCCTCTGTTCCCGGAGACGTTTCCGGACTCGACCGGATCAGAACCCGGACTGAGACCAGGACCGGGACGGGGAGGAGTGAACGGTACGACGCCGGGATTGTTTCATTTACATTCATGTTGTTGGATTTTATCCAAAGATGAGTTTAATTTGTTTGTCTCCTTTTCTGGTTCCTCTCCTCCTTGTTTCCTTTCTCTGTTTCCTTTCCTTGTATTCTCTCCTGGTTTCCTCTTGTTCTTCTCCTTGTCTCATCCTTCCTTCCTTGTTTAATTTCAATTTTACATCATCACTCCTTGTTTCCTTTTTTTAATCATCTTTCTTTTCTTGTTTCTTCCTTTTTTCTTGTTTCATCTCCTCATTTCCTCTCCTTGTTTTCTTTCCTTTTCTTTTCCTCATTTCCTCTTGTTTCCTCTCCTTGTTTCCTTGTCTCCTTTTCCCCTCAGCTCCTCCCCTGCTGCCTCCCTATGGCCTGGACTTCTTTCCTCCGCCGGTGGTTCCCGGCAGAGACTTCAGTCGTCCGGACTATGACGACTACTCCCCAGCAGGGGGCAGCAGGTCGGGCTTCATCGGGAGGACGCCGTCCTCCTTCGGCCTGCCGGAGTTCGGGTGAGGGTCGAGCAGCGTCACCTGTCAGGTAGCTGAAGCATTCATGATATCTAACGTATAATAACGTCTGCCTGTCTGTCAGCACTGGTTACTACACTGAGGGAGACTACGGACCTCCAGACGGCTCCAGAACTCCGTCCTTCCGCCTCCCTCCGGACCCCCGAGCCGAGATCTCGTTCGGTGCCCGGCCGCCTCCTCCGTCCCGGCCGGACGGTCCTCCTCTCAGCCTGGCGCCGCTGCCCGGAGCCCCTCGATACGAGGAGGAAGAGGAGGAGGAAGACGACAGGACGTGGAGGCCCGGACCACCGTTTCCTCCTTTCACAGGAGACAGGAGCCGAGGAGGAGCAGCACCGAGGAGGCTGTACGAGAGTGAGTCCACCGGCAGAGATCCAGGAAACCCGGAGTCAAAGCCCCGAACTCCGAGCAGTTCCTGGTCGTTTTTTAAATCTAGTTGAAAGTGAAAACCACAAACTTACCAGAGTCATTTTGAAT